GACGGCTGCCCTCCGCTCACCTCGAACACGTCCTCGTCCAGGATCCGGGTGCCGAACACGACGATGCCGTTGGTGTCGATCACGGGGTGGTCACTGCGGTCCAGGAACTTGGTGGCCTTCTTCTTACAGTCCAGGATCAGGGTGACGTTCTTCTTGTGGACGCTGAGCGCGATTCTGTGCCACCTGCAGGGACACGGACAGCCGGGCGGGTGGAGGCGGCGCGGGCCCCGGGCGCCAGTGCAGGGGGCTCAGGGGCAGATCACGGGGGACATGGGGAGGAAGCCCCTCTCCCTGCAACTGGACCCCGGCCACACCATCGCCCCATGACACGCCCTCCGCCCCGGACACCTCCAATTTCTCGTCTCTCAGGCAGGGTCACCGTCTGAGCCCAAAGTTCACGGGGAAGCTCCGAGCGCAGGCTCTGGCACCCAAGTGGGCTCGCAAGTGGGCCAGGGCCCAGGAGGGGACAGCCCTGTGAGGGCCGCCTGAACCCCACAGCAGAGGGCAGGCTGCCGGGGAAGGCGAGCCCGTCAGGGAACTGTGGCACCCGGGACCCACACACACTCTCAGCGAGAAACTCAGGACGCGGAAGGTCTTCCCGGCACGTGGGTCCTCCGTGCCGGCCACCAGGAGGCCACGGTCAGACCACCGGCCTGGGTGTGCGCCCACAGAGCCCCGGAAGGTCTGCCTGGGTTTCGCTATTCCGTCCCACACTGGATGCGTCTGTGCCCACCAGGGTCCCCTAAGTCCCCTGTGGGACAAGCGGGGTGCAGCCGCACGACCTCCTTGCGTCCCTTCCGAACAGAGGGGCTGGCGTTTGCCCTGCACCCAGGGGAGATGGAGGCCCAGGGAGAAGGGCCGGGACCAGCTCGCGGGGCTCCACGCCCATGCTCCCCGCCGGGTGCTCACCAGAGGGCCCTCAGCCCCTGCTGCTATAACGCACAGCCTGTGGGACGCCCTGTCTGCCCGCGGGCCCTGGGGGCCTGCCCAGACGCTCCAGGGGGCCTGGGTGGCCGAGTGGCGCCCACTTACTTGCCATCCGACAGGTTGATGCCCCGGAAGAGGGGGTAGTCTTCCGGCCCCGGCTTCCCCGTGTGGTCCTCGTAGAGGAAGACGGGAGAGCGGCCCATCTCCAGGCCGAGCTGCTGGATGCCCTGCTCGTTGTAGAGGGAGACCAGGAAGGCCTGGCTGCCCTTCTTGGCTTTCACAGTGGCTAGGATGGAGAAGTCCTCGGGAAACGCAGACGCTGGGACAGAGGGCAGAGGGCAGAGGTCAGAGGGCCATCGGGAAGCTGCCAACCACACCCAGCCACCACACACCAACCAGGTCAGGGACCTGGCAACCCGGCTGCAGAGGACGGGCCCAGCCACTGGCTGCTGATCCGCCCCTGGATCAAACTGTTCCTGCAGCCCCGCTGTCCCCACGTGGCCAAGCCTGACCCTTCGAGGCTCAGTTCAAATGCAAAGCTAATCAATCGGTCCTTCCAGCTGTGAGCCTCCATGCGGCGGCCCCCTCCGTCCCCACCCTATAACGCATCTGCGCGTAAGTCCTAGCGAGGACCCCCAGGATGTGAGCGCCCCGTGGGCAGGGCTGTCTCAGGGCACCTCGAACCCTCTGCAGTGCCCAGAGCTGGGCCTAGCAGAGTGCGTCTTGTTCAGCGCCCTGTCGGGGAGCGAGGGAGGGCAGGCAGGATGTCAACTAGAATCATACTTGCCATTTCCTGGTTGACACGCAAAACAGAGAAAAAGTAGAAAGAAATCAAAAGACTTCCATCCGAATTGCAAAGAAACAAACACAGAAACAAAGAAAGGAAGAACCTGCCGTGTGGATGGGCGGGCAGGCCCCCTACGGCACAGGCCAGAACCCTCTGAGGCGTCAAAGCCAGACCCCTGCGGGCCCTGCCCTGCACGCTCCAGACCTCTCTGCACGCACACGCACACATGCACACGCGTGCGCACACGCACATGCACACACGCACGCGCGCGCACATGCACACATACGCACACACATGCACACACGCACACAGCACACACATGCACACACGCACACAGCACACGCATGTATGCACCCCTTCCCTTCGGCCAGGTGCCCCGTCGACCCTCCTGCCGCCTTATGCGATTTGCAGCTGTGTGGGGAGCCTGGGGCGCGTGGGCTAACGGACGTGCGATCCAGCGGCCAGAAGGCTCAGTCCGGTCAGCGCACTTCTCAGCATGGCCGAAGGCGCGGCGCCCACGGAGGGGTCCGACGGACACGCTGTGTGGGGAGGGGACACGCTCTGAGCTACGAGGGCTGTGGGTCAGGCTTAGGGCCTGGAGGAGGAGAGGACCCGTGATCAGCTGGTCCTTTAGGAAGGTAACAAGGTCAACCCTACGGCCCCGATGGCCAGCCCCACAGGAAGCTGTCTGGGGGTGCCCTCTGCTGGCGGAACGGCCGCGTGGCCTCCACTTCTGATCACCAGAGCAGAGCCTGTAGGTGCCAGGCTGGGGGGAGGGGACATCCCGGGCGGCCTGAGACGTCACCTGCTGTGGCCTCGTGTCCCCTGGGACCAGGGGGGCGAGATCTTGCGAGGGGAGGGTGGGAATGGGGGGCACCGCCGTTTCAGACACTGAAATCAAGTGTCCCCTGAAGCATCATGAGGTTTGAGGCTGAGGCAGAGGCGGGCTCCTCTGGATGCGTGAAAACGAGACCCGAGTTCTCCGTTGAGGGCGAGCCCGGCCCTGACAGTGGCCTCGTTCTGTACTGAGGGTCAGACAGCCCCGAGGCCGGACCCTGGACCAGGGCGACGGAGTGCCCCAAGGTGGGCTCCGGAAGGGATCTCATCAACAGAAATGACGTCCTTACAGAGCGCTGAGCCGCCGGGCGGATCTGAGGGCGGCGGAGGGACAGCGGGGGCACCGCACAGAGTTAGGGGAGAGGCCCTGGAGGCGAAGAGGCAGCCCCTGAAAGAGTGTGTCCCCCGGGGACCCAGCGGGGACGCAGGACGAGCAGAGAACCATCACTGGTCAAGAGAGAGCCTGGCTCTGGGTCAAGGCCAAGCTCAAGCCCCAAGAAGATGGCCCAGCTGCTAACGCTCACCAGGCACTTCCACGGCGGCCCCTGCCACGGCTCCGGCCCTTCCCACCTGAGTCAGAGACGAGCCCGTCCAGGCCGGAGAGGCTATCGGTCTGTGGCCCGCGTCCCCTCCCCGAGTGGCTCACTGGCTCTGGGGCGGGGGGGAGGGGGTGCGTATACCACCCACGGCCAATGACAGGACCACTCGGGCGCGGTCTCAGCCGCTAACATCACCCCCCCACCCCCCACCCCCCGCTCCGGGCAGGTAATTAGCAGTCCAGCTCCGCGCTCCACGATCGATCCTCATTAAGAGCCGGCTCTCTCGCCGGGAGGTGTGACGTGTGATTCATGCGTCTCTCGGGGTCCCTGCCCCCCATTAAGCTTCTGCCTGGAAGCACTGCCTTTCTCACG